TAGATTCATTTAGATTATATTCATTTAGATTATATTCATTTAGATTATATTTATTTAGATTATATTTATTTAGATTATATTTATTTAGATTCATTTAGATTAGATTCATTTAGATTATATTTATTTAGATTCATTTAGATTATATTCATTTAGATTATATTCATTTAGATTATATTTATTTAGATTCATTTAGATTATATTTATTTAGATTATATTCATTTAGATTATATTCATTTAGATTATATTCATTGAGATTATATTTATTTAGATTATATTCATTTAGATTAGATTCATTTAGATTATATTCATTTAGATTATATTCATTTAGATTATATTTATTTAGATTATATTCATTTAGATTATATTCATTTAGATTATATTCATTTAGATTATATTCATTGAGATTATATTCATTTAGATTATATTCATTTAGATTATATTCATTTAGATTAGATTCATTTAGATTATATTCATTTAGATTATATTCATTGAGATTATATTCATTTAGATTATATTCATTTAGATTAGATTCATTTAGATTATATTCATTTAGATTAGATTCATTTAGATTATATTCATTTATATTATATTCATTTAGATTAGATTCATTTAGATTAGATTCATTTAGATTATATTCATTTAGATGAATGTGATGACGGTGTGTCTGTCTCATAATAAACTCTTTAAATGAATGACTTTCTGCTCAGTGTCGCTCAGACTAAAGAAGTCATTTAAAGATTTAATCTCAGCCTCTGAGAAGTTGTGATGGACTTGTTTGACTTTTTATTGACATTTAACAGATTCAAACATTTATTGATTGATTTTAAAAAAAGCCGTTACATCATCAATAATAACAAGAATAATGAGTTAACGCTCTAAATATGTGGTATGAAACATATTGGATTGTATGAACTGGACCGTACTGATGTTCAGGTTCCATCCCAGATTCTACATGTGAATTATAAATCTAGATTAAATGAGATGAATGAAACTTGAACAGTGTTTGTACGCCATGATTCACTCATCAGGCTGAACAGTTCAGTCCATTCATTGATGAGATGATCCACAGAAAATGAAGGGACAATCATTTTGATCATGGACTCATTATTTCAGTCTCTTGAATCCAAAAGGTCCAAAATGTTTTTTCCAGTTTGTCAAATATGACAATTAGCTGCTTTGATCAGTTTGATATGATTGTAAATGAAACAGCGTTCAGTGTTATTCTGGAGCTGTTTGAAAAGTTCACCTTATTCTTTGTTGACGTTTCAAAAGAAGTGGTTGGTTCATGAATCAATCCAAATAATGTGATCATGAATCTTTATTCTGAGCTCTTCATAAAAAGTCCAAGTACACATTAGATGAGATGATCTCCACTGTTCTGACCTCAGTGTTGGCTCGTCCTCTCAGGCAGCATCAAACAAACATCTGCAGCTGGAAACAGCTGTTGTTAGTGTTGAATGATTGACAGATGGATGAAGCAATCAGGACGCACAGACTGTCTCCCAGTCTCCATACTGGTCCTGGTGGTCTCTGCCTTATTGTGAGCAGCTGTAGTAACACACTGCTGAACTCTGTGAGGGCCGAGCAGGAGGAGTCTACAGACTGATCCTGGACTGAGACTCTCCTTCAGAGGAAACTTGGAGAACAGCTCGGGACAGTCGAGTGTGTGGTTTCTCACAGGACGAGCGAAATGTTGGACTGATCCACAGAGAGTCCACGTTCAGTCCAGGACCAGTTTAATCTGAGTCTGCTAGTCAGGACTACAACTCAGAGAGAGAGAGAGACTCAGTGTGTCTCTGATGTAATAATAAAGGATTTAAACTATACCTCTCTCTCTCTCTGTGTCTCTCTATTCCTCCCTCTCTCTCTCTCTCTCTCTCCTTCTCTCTCCCTCTCTCTCTCTCTTTCTCTCTCTCTCTCTCTCTCTCTCTCTGTCTCTCTCTCTCTCTCTCTCTCAGGTGTTCACATTGTCCAGAGGATGTACGGCTGTGAGTGGGATGATGAGACTGGAGATGTTAAAGGTTATTATCAAGATGGTTATGATGGAGAAGACTTCATAGTTCTGGACACGAAGACATGGACGTGGGTCGCTCCACAACAACAGGCTGTCGTCACCAAACAGAAGTTGGATAAAGACAAAGCTCAGTTAGAGTATCTTAAGAACTACTTCAACAAGGAGTGTCCTGACTGGCTGAAGAAGTATGTGAACTATGGGAGGAGCTCTCTGATGAGAACAGGTAGGATCAAATGACCTGATGGAGTTGAATTCTGACAATGTTCATCTTCTTCTTTTCTTGTTTATCTTGTAATTGAACAATCACGTTTCTATCACACATGCTCTGTCTTCATCTTTAAGCTTCCCCTTACCTTTCCCTTCATGTTAGATCTCTTTCTCTCTGCTGCTCATCGCTCTCTCTCAAAGTTTCTCTGTGTTTTTATTGTACTTTCTCTCTCTCCTCATCTTCTTCTTCATCAATCCATCTGAACCCCCTCACCTCTCTTCTTCTGTTTCTTCCCCTCTGACCCTCTCTTCTTTGAATTATACTTTAATAAGGTTGATTTTCATTGTTGACTCACTGGATTTTAAAGTCCCTTTTTTTCCCAGTACATTTAAAAAGTGTCATCAAACATGAGTTGTAACAGTATTTAAGAGTAAATCCTGATAAAGAAACTCTAATCTGTCTTCCTGTTTGTCCTCCAGACCTCCCCACAGTGTCTCTCCTCCAGAAGACTCCCTCCTCTCGGGTCACCTGCCACGCTACAGGTTTCTACCCCAACAGAGCCATGATGTTCTGGAGGAAAGATGGAGAGGAGCTTCACGAGGACGTGGACAAGGGAGAGATCCTCCCCAACCACGACGGCTCCTTCCAGATCAGCGCTGACCTTCAACTGCCCTCTGATGACTGGGGGAAGTACGACTGTGTGTTTCATCTCTCTGGTGTGAAGGAGGACATCGTCACCAAACTGGACAAACGAGAGATCAAGACCAACTACGGTAAGACCTCGATGAGAAGTGATGAAAGAGAGGATTTGACTGTAACAGTCGTGTGATGGAGGGAAAGTTTAGTTGTGACTTTTTCTTTCTTTCAAACTCTTCAAATTGTAAAAGTATTCAGAAAAAGAGTTTAAAGGTTCAGCATTAAAGCGATGATAATGTAGACCTCTGGACGTCTTACAAGAAAGATACTATTCCAGAGTTTTAAATGGATTAATAACGCAAAGTGAGAGAGAGAGAGAGAGAGAGAGAGAGAGAGAGAGAGAGAGAGAGATGAATAAAGCTGCAGGGCTGGAATAGTGCAGATTTACTTCAACTCTCCAGTCCACGTTTATTAAAGTATTCAAATGAAAGCACTCATCATTGTGTCAACATGTGTCTGATGAACACTGAAAGAGATTTGAAAAAGACACAAAAAAGGACCAAAAGATTAAAACATAATCATAAAGCTGTGCAGAAAAGGTCCAAAGTGGAGCATAAATAATGATCAGAATGCAGGAAAAGAAATGTCTGATGCTAACATTTTTCTGAGGGGAGACCCCAAGATGCAGTTTTCAATTAAAAGTTGAAAAAAAAAAAAAAAAGAATCATGTGAGAGAATCGTGATCTCAGATCTCAGGGAGAAAAATCATGATTCACATGTTAGCATCTCTTTTTCATTTACAGCCACATCATTTCATTTCAGTTTCTCTTTAGATTTTATTTTTTAGTGTTTTCAGTTTTTAAATCCATCAAGAAAACGATTGAATCAAACACAGTTAGAGTGCTGTTGTTGAAGAAAAGTCAAACATGTTTATTTTGAGAGATTAAAGGCACTGTGTTGACTTCTCAAAGTTAAAGTTTTAAAGGATGAATGTGTGACATGTTACACATAAATATATCAGAAATCCAGTCTATCCTGTGTGAATGTCTCTGAGTGTGGAGGAGGCGGCCAAACAGCAGTTTGTTTTGGTTTGCTCAAGGGCGACATCTACTGGATCAAAAGTCACTCATTCTTCCTTTAGTTGAAGAGAAGATCAAGTTGATGAATTACTGGATGTATAAATATATCTGTCAGTAAATCATTCACGTTGAGTTTTCTTTTCCTCGTTCAGTCAAAATGAGTTTGAATCCGTTTGTCAAAAGCTCTCAGAGCGAAACATCAACATATAAAGAAATCAGCATTCAGATAAAGGACGACAACACGACTGGAAGATGAATCAAACATAGATACAGGATTTATTTACAGACAAGTGGAGATTCAAATGAAGAGCAGCAGGACAAACAGTGTTTATTTACAGGATGATGATTGTCTGCTTGGCACATGTTCTCCTCCTCTAACCTGCTTCATCTGCACAGGTTGTAACTGTGGTTTGTTGATTTGTGCTCAACAGTGAATCCATGAACACCGTCATCCCCATCATCGCCATCATCCTGCACTCGTTCTTCTCGGCCTCGCTGTCATTGGATACAAGAAATACAGAGGCAGAAAATGTAAGAGACACAAACTTTGTTCTTTTTGGTGTTTTAAGTTTTTAAATGTTATTCTTTGAGTTTATTAAAGGTGCACTTTGTAGATTTGGTAGAGAAATGTGGAAGTTGAAGAAATGTACAGATTCTGTGGTATATGTTCATAACTCTATACACAAACTGTCCTCAGAGGAACAATGTTTGAAGATAAAATGCTCTGAGAGAAGTTATTGGGGGGCTTCAACAGTGACACTGTAACTCTCCTGGTAGCTTTTTAGCTCCAAACAGAGTTCCAGGGACCCATTTTTCTTTGAGTAAAGTTTGTGTATTCAGTTCAGGAAATATAACAGAGAATTGTTTCACTTCTCCAACTTTCAACTTTCAGTACCAAATCTACATATTGCACCTTTAAGACTTTAATACCTGTTGTATCAAAATCTGTTTCAAACAGTAAGGAAGTTTTCCAGCTGTGTCGTATTTTATGACTTTTAAGGGCGTTTTCACATCAGGCATGATTGTTTTGTACAGTACCCGAGCAGGATTATCCTCCCCTCCCCTCCCCCCGATGGTCCCCACATTAGTAACATTGTTCTGTGTATCGCGGTCCACTTCCTTGAGCACGGTTGTGTTCACATCTCACACGGACCAAGCGGACTCGGGCACGGTAGCTGAGTACAGTACGAGTACGGTATGTTGTGTTCACACTGATCAAATGAACCGGACTTTAGGGTCCAGTGTACTCGGATCTGGACTTAGATCCGGGCCTGGGACCCTGATGTAAAACCCCCTAAGAAAGAGAGATGAATTTAATATTGTTTGTTTGATGTTTTATTTATTTATTTAATTTTAGTACACGAGACAAAGTGAGCTGTGTGCTTAAGTCGAGATACATGTGTCAGTTGAAGGTTTAAATCCTGGAGTTAAGTTACTAGAAAAGGGGAAGAAATGATTTTCTGGCTTTCTGACCTACGTGAGAACTAAAACGACCCGTCTTTGTTTTTGTATTTCAGCCTCATGTGAAACGTCTCCTGAAAACAGCTCTGAGCTCGCTGAGAACTGAATCCAGAGCCTACATGATGAACACACCACCCTGCACCCTGTGAGTTTCTCTCTACGGGACGTGGACCATTCTCACTGTTAAAAACGCCGTTTTAAACGCCTTGTTAAAGAAGCTTCTTTGTTAAACTTGTGTGAGGTTGAAATCAGTGTAAATATGTAGCTTTGTAGAGCTGATCTCTCCAAACACTGATGTGTTAAATGATTGTTCGGTTTGACCGTCTTCATCTCTGCAGGTTTCTTGAAACATTTTGCTCAGGAACAATCAGAGTGAAGGTCGTCTGTGTGTGTTACTGGAGTCCACCTCTCTCACACTGCAGTCACCGTAACTCTCTGCAAGATGAGCCAGAATAAAAACAGACGAGTGGAGTTTCATCTCAGTGGTGAACTGTCTTAAATTTGTACCAAACACAGATAATAATTCAATCTGGTTCCTTCCACGTCTTTAAAAGGCCTCCCTATGATCACACACGTGAAATAAAATCATCAGTTCAAGATTCATCTTCCAGTTGTGTAAATAGTCTGCTTGTACATTTTGTATACATTTTGTTTTTATTACTAACAAACCAAAGCAAATAATAATTCTTGTCTCTGAGTTTTTTTAACAGATAAGGAGAATGTTTTTTTTTTTTTTCATAATATTCCTCTTGATTTATTTTGAAACATTTTTATTAGAGATGTCAAACGATGACAATTTTTAATCACGATTAATTTCTAAATTTAAAAATTTGCATGTTTGAAATAAATTGTTGGGCTTTTATTTTGAAACATTTGTACTGTCTTAAGCTGAGAGTACTTTACCTGCTGTTTGAATTTAGCCCTGCTTTTATTTTGAAATAGAGTAAGGAGCTTCCTGTAGATGGAAGGTTAGGACATGAACTAAAACACAGAAACAGGAAGTGGTTATGGATCCTAAAGTGAGGTCAAACAGCTCAAAGGAACGGTGACAAAGGTCAATGTGTGATGTCATCAGGTCAATGTGTGATGTCATCAGGTCAATGTGTGATGTCATCAGGTCAATGTGTGATGTCATCAGGTGGATATTACTGTCTGAGAGTTTGTTAAAGTGAAATGAGACATTCAAAGATGCAGCAGTGTTCTTCTTTTACATCAGTGAGACTACAGGGAGACACTGAGGACCACTATCTACGGAGAGCCTGAAGGGACAAAATAAGATGAGATTAATCGTGATGAACTCGTTAATGCTGACAGCTCTAATTATTGTTTTATTTTGATCAGAGATCCTAAACTGTTTGTGGGAGGCGTCTCAGCTATCCAGTTGAAATCTTGTATATAATTCCTGCTCGTGTTCAGGAACGAGGGATGTTTTCTCTCTGAGTTTTGTGAATGGAAGTGGAAGATGAATTCTCAGAATCACTTCCTGTGTTGGGTTAAGTTAACTAGTGGTGTTGAGCTGCTGTTTCATACCTTTGTACTGTAAATGATCTGTTCAATAAAGTCCCTCACACTCCAAATGTCTGTGTGTTTCTTCACTTCAACATTCATGGAAACACTTACACAGCTGTAGCTACCATTGTGGGAACATTTAGTTTGATTCCAATAAACTTTATGATCTTTACTTTGTTGATCTTATAGACGGATTATTCACATGTTCTGAAACGTCTGAACAAAGATATTTAAATTAGCCGCTCAGTTCAGTAACATCTACATTGTGATGATATAAAAACATTTGTTGGAGCCAGTTTGATGTGTGCTATAGTGTGTGTGCTGAGTTTGGTTATTATTGCTGCTGCTGCTACGTCACCTTTGCACCTGGGCATCATGGGTAATCAGCCACACGCAGCTAGAAAGGGGAGTGACAGGTGAACAGGTGCAGAGAATCAGGATTCAGGTGTGTGTTTGTTTCTAACCCTGTGTGGTTGTGTGAACATGTTTGAGGTTCCTGTCATGTTTGGTGTTTTGATTGTTTCCATCCTCACCAGCTTGTTTTCAATCCGTGCATTTCTCCGACCTTTTGTAGACGATTTAAAGACGACTGATTAATAATTCAGAGTTTGTGGAGGCGACATTCGATCAAAGAAGTCGTAAAAAAGGATCACTAAAAGTAATGAGTGTGAGTGAATGTCTTTAAAATGCTGAACCAGTGAACCTCCAGCTGGTGTGAACATTCAAACACATGGATCCAAGAACCATTTAACCCTTTATTGGCTACGAGCACAAGGTGGATGGATGGACGGATGATCACTGTTCAATAAATAAAGAGAAATCATTACGCTGCCACATGAACTTCAGGATAAATGGTAAATGGACTTGAGCTTGTATATTTCTTTTCTAGTCTTCTGACGACTCAAAGGGCTTTTACAACACGTGTCACACCTACACATTCACACACTGATGGTAGAGGCTGCTGAGTAAAGAGTCCATCACAAGTAAGTGATCACATTCACACACCAGGTCCTTACACACTTATGTTCATACATTTGAAAAGAAACCTTAAAAGATTCAACAGAGAAGTGAAACTGTCGTCTAGAAAGCGTCTCTCTGCAGCTCTCTCACCTTTCCTACGATGCTGCCCACGGTGATGATGGATCCTTTGGGTGCTCCACAGGCCACCAGAGCCTGAGCCACAGCCTGAGTGATCAAGAAGGAGCCCTGGAAGAGACGCAGGAGCAGGAGTGAGTTCATCTCTTCACAGTAAATCAGCACCAGAGAAAAGAGTGTTTGAAATAATAACAAAAATCATTCAGCTCTGTGGACAAAACACAACAATCCTAAACGTTCTTCAGCCTCAATAAAGACATTTTCACTCATGCACTACTGAAAGTCTTCATTATTTTCAGGCAGTCAGAGGTGGTGGACAGAGCAACAGAGTCCAACTCTATGATGACAGTTTTTTTGTACATACTGGAGGACAGAAAACTTAAGGCAGCGGTTTAATAACGTGCACAGAGATCACACATATCGCGGTCATACAGTCTCTGGTTGTGCACGGGTCCTGAGGTAGAAACGTTACCACCCCCCTCTTGCTCCCTCACAGTGAATTTACCTGAATACTTCCTGCTGCGTTCTCACATCAGCTAACCCGACTTCATGCAGAAAAATGATCAGGGGGCTGCCGGCTAAAGAATTCCAGATAAAGTCGGAGTAGAAATGTGTCTGTTTGCGTTCACTCGTGCAGTTTTTTAGAAGTTTTGTGAGAGAATCATTTTATGAATTCTTTTCTTCAAGTGCAACAACGAGAAACTTGAATCTTCGGTTGTTTCCTGTTGAAGACAACAGAGACTGATTTCTTTCTTTCTGATTCTTCTCACAAAGTCGACCCACGTTATGTCTCAACAGCAGTGATGGAAGAAGAGTGCTTTAAGAAGTGCTGCAATTTGAGCACAAATGAACCGGCATCGAGGGCCAACATCTAAAAATATGAATCATTTGTAACTTGTAATTCTGGTGCCGACTAGTGAGGGTGATGACTTCCAACCTTTAAGTGGACTAACGGGCACATCCCTAGTTATTAGATTGTGATGTCATCCTCTGACGTTAACCTGATAGACTCGATTACACGCTGAACTTGCTTCATACCTTCAGGTTGACCTGGATGACTCTGTCAAAGTGATCCTCCTCCATGTTGAGCAGGAAGTGGTCCTGCGTGATGCCTGCTGCGTTCACACACACTGAGGGAGGCTGGAAGTAATGAGTGTGTAGAGGAACAGAACAATAACTTACAAGGAGAGAAAAACAACACGTGGAATAGCCCCTCCAGCATGAAAACACACAGAGAGAAAAGTACCTTTTTCTACAGAAAGGTTGCTGATTATGATGGAAATGTAAACACATGTTGTGTTGGCTTGTCTTCCTGTCTGTATCACACCTGTATTCTGGTGACCAGCTTCTTCACGCTCTCTTTTGATGACACATCCACCACAGCCGCCATGTGACCCTGTCCTCTGAGGTCATTCTGCAGACCCACCATGGTCTCGTTGGCAGACTCCTCGCTGATGTCTGCCACCACCACGGAGGCGCCCTCAGAGGCCAAACGCTGACATACCGCCCGTCCGATCCCACTGCCTCCTCCTGGGAGGGAAAAGAGTAGCATGAAGTTACCAGAGTGACAGAATGTTTTAAACACAACGCTGCAGAGGAAAGACTGAGTGTGACAGAAGATCCACTCTGGAAGTATCTGAAAAAACAAATATCAATCAAGGACGACAAGAAAACACACAGGACAGGAAGCTGACTTGATGTGATTGATTTTCAGTTTGATTAGCCCAACAGTTCAGGGCTACATGACCAATTGTTATTCACAAATCATCTGCGCCCAATCACATTTCTTTCTTTCTTCTGTCTTCAAAAACCTTGAGTCCACTTTTCTATGTGAAAATGTAAGAGGACAAGTGATGCTTCATCATTCATAATACAGCTTTAATGTTTATTCCATCAGTCAAAGAAGACAATTAATAAGCCACAATTCTCATAATACATGTATCCTTTCAGTCACTCACTGTATCCACACTGTATTGCATTTTTTACAGTTTTGAACCTTAAGTCGGACAAAACCAGACATTTAAAGATTTAAACTCTGAGGCATTTAAACATGTTTCCTTTTTCAGTATTTTCACAATTCAACGGCAGATCATTTCATTCTGAAATGGTTGCAGGTCTTATTGATAGCATACACACAGCCAGAATGACAGCTACACTTTCACCTTCACTCTCATTTCAAGTCATCAAACTTAATTCAGTCCGATCTGCTCGAGGTACTGATTTAGAAATCACTGATAGAATCACGGTTACACTAAAATAATGAATTCATTGTCAGCTTACTTTGGAGATCAAACTTTTTGATATCAGAAGCTACTTGCAGTAGGTAGCTGCTTTGATTTGGTGAATTGAAGAAGATTGCAGAAAAACACACGGCTTTGAACGCAACATCTTGAAAAGGGAAAAGGGCATGTCCTTAAACGTCTCACTTCACACAACACCATGTATCTTACAACATATATTTACCAGTGACCAGCGTCAACCTTGATATCAGCCGTGTGGCAGCCGTCATACTCCCATCATGTTTCCCCCCTTATGTTGTTGTAGCTTTCGGGTTGTCCACTAGATGGCGCCCAGTGATGAAAAATGTTACGTGTTCCGGTTCCGGTTGATGACGAGCCCAGCAGAGTTTAACTAAAAGCTAAGGAGGCGAGGAGGGAATCATCTATTACAATGCTTTGTCATTTTATTCATCAAACTGACCATAGATTACAGTCACAGTATGAACAGGATGGAATATCCCTCCGTTTTAATACAAGGTTTATTTTGAAAGGGTTTAACGGAAGTATCTCTTCGCTACGTGTATCTAACTTGACTCTGCGGGTGTAGTTCTTCATTGAGGCCACTAGATGGCGCACGATACTGAATACGCCAATGTAGAACAAGAAACACATTTAAAAACAGCTACACGGACAGAATACATGATGTTGATTCAAATGAACATTAAATACATTTTTATCTTGGACAACAGATATTTTATAACTTAATTGGCCATAGATTAAAGCGTTGTGTTGTTCACTCCGTCAAACATTACCTTCATAAAGTGCAGCTAGCGTTAACAAGAGGGAGCTGTAAGGCGA